ATCAATCTGGAATTACACACAAAGAGTATACTGCCTATACCCTTTGACCCAGCAACACCACTGTTAGGTCTCTTTCCCAAGGTGATCAGAGAAAAAAGGAAAAGAACCTGTATGTTCTAAAATTTTTCTAGGTTGTTTTTTTTTTTTGGTGGTGGCAAAGAAATGGACATTAAGGCCATCAACTGGGGAATGGCTAAACAAATTGCACTATATGATTGTAATAGAATACTACTCCGCTATAAAAATGATGAGTTGCTTGATTTTAGAAAAACATAGAAATACTCACATGAAATAGGAAAGAGTAAAATAAGCAGGACCAAGAGAATGTTGTACATACTAACAGCAATATTGTTCTAAGAACAAGTTTGAACTAAGTCATTTTGAGTATTAGAAATATTTAAATCAATTACAAAAGACCTAAAAAGAAGATGCCACCCATATCCAGAGAAAGAACTAATAAACAGAAGTATGTATAGTATGGTTTTATACACACATATATACACACACATTTGTGTCTAATAGTAGCCTTCTCTAGGGTGGGAGGAGGAGAGAGAAGAAAAATGCACAGTAAACAAAAAAAAAACCTTAAAGGAAGAATAGAAAAGCAGGGTAGCTTTGAGAACAATGTGTAGTATTCATTACATAACTTTAAAAAAAAAGTAAACTGTAAAATGGAAATTCATGGTTTTATATTGAATCCTCTTTTTTGGTGCTCTGTAACATGGAAATGGTTTGTGGGGGGGTTTTTTTGGTCTTTTTGTACTTAAGTTCAAAATAAATAAAAATAATAATAATAATAATAAAAGAAATCTTGAATAATTCTGATACACAGGCTGGAGCCACATTGCTGCAATACCGCTTTTAAGATGATATTTTGCTCTACTATATCCAATATTTTTTGTGATAAACAATAAGTAACGAGATCTTTCAATCTTTACATCCTTTGGTCAATGGTCTGATGATAAAGATATGATTTTCTAGGGAATATTGCTTCTGAAAGCTTGTCTATGAATAATTTTCATAAAAATTTCACATCAATTGGAAAGTAGGCATATAGTATAGTAAGTCTTAATGACTTCTAGGTCACATTTTTCCAGTATTAATAAGGCTACAACATTTAAACAAAGAGGAACTCTAAAGAAGAATAGGAGTAAAAGGCAGGGAAATATATAATAGAAAAGGAAGACAGACTGATGATTTGGAAAGGCAGTTTTCTGTCTCCAGAGCCAATGTTCTTTCCAATATATATCACACTCCTTTTACAGTGACAAGTGGCTTCACTGATATTTTGTGTTGTCAGGAAAAAATAAGGATGGTCTCCCAATGTCTAGAGACTTTCTTGGCAAACTTATGGAAGGACATGGAAAAGAGTTCCACAGAAGGACCAGCATGGTTAGGTTGCAATCTGTGTTATTAAGGAAAACATTCAAATCGATAAGATCCTATATCCATACGGGGATGAGTAAATGTCTGTATGAAATATTTTCTTCTGCACAGTATTTATTTTCATTATCAATACCTACAGTTTAAGAAGCACTGGCTTGGTACATTTTAGCAAAATGTAGTTTCCCTATTTATCTGTTTTAATTGGGTCTTTTTTTTTTTTTGCTATTGCATTGTCTGAAATCATAATTGCTACCCCTTCCTTTTTCATTTCAGCTGAAGCATAACAGATTCTGCTATAGTCCCTTATTTAAACCCTGTGTTTATTTTCTACTTCAAATGGGTTTTTTATAATCAACATTTTGTTTGATTTTGTTTCAAATTCATTCTTTTTCCATTTCATTAGTTATTTAAATGTCATAGTTATGATTGTTAATTACGTATTTTCTTCCATCCTCTTCTCTTATGCTTTTCCTTCTCTTTGTTTTTTGTCTCATCTTTAAGAGTTTATTTTGGGGGGCGGAGCCAAGATGGCAGAGTGAAAGCAGTGACTTGCTTGAGCTCTCCTCTAAACCCCTCCAAATACGCATAAAAAATGGCTCTAAACAAATTCTGAAGCAGCAGAACCCACAAAAGACAGAGTGAAACAAATTTCCAGCCCAAGACAACTTGGATGATTGATCAGAAAGGTGTATCACGCCGGGCTAAGAGCGCGGTGCAGTGCTGCGTGGGCACACAGGCCCAGAACCTGGAGCAGGCCTCAGAGGACTGAATCACGGGCAGCTGTGGAGGTTTCCAGACTTCTCAATCCACTAATGCCAAAGACAACTTAGAAGGTCAGTGGGAAAGGTCTGTTTCTGTCGGTGCTGAGACAGGAAGGTGGGGTCTCAGCTTCATTCCCCAAGAGCGTGGTCCTGTGGGGGCAGCTGCTTCCCGAGCTTCCAGCCCACAGACTGAGGGGATTTCCAGTGGCTGATCAGAGAGGGATTGCAGGGAACTCTTTGCCAGGACTGAGGCAGGAATCTCTTGCTTTGCCCTGTTTGGATCTGGGTCATAGTTCCAGGCGGTGGTGCTGGGGTGAGGAGGAACGCTGGCGTAGTGGATCTTGCAGTGGCTGTGGAGAGGAACCCTTCCTCACAGTTACAGGACAGAAAGGAGTACTTGTAGTCACAGGCCAGGAAAGGAGTAAACACCTCGCCCCTTATCATACCACCTTGGAAGAACTGAAAATTTACAGCTCCCTACAAGTATCTCTGAAAACAGCTGTACAAACTCCTGAAGCTTGGAACAGTACATTCTCCACATTGGAAGCAGACTCTTACCTTAACAAAGAGTTTAAAACTCAAGTAATTGGCTGGGATCATGAGCAAGCAGTGCAAAAAAAGTCAGACCATAGAATCTTACTTTGGTGAAAAAGAAGATCAAAATATACAACCAGAAGAAGACAACAAAGTCAAAGCTCCTACATCCAAAGCCTCCAAGAAAAATATGAATCAGTCCCAGGCCTTGGAAGAGCTCAAAAGGGATTTTGAGAAGCAAGTAAGGGAAGTAGAGGAAAAACTGAGAGTGATGCAAGAAAATCATGAAAAACAAGTCAACAGCTTGCTAAAGGAGACCCAAAAAAATACTGAAGAAAATAACACCTTAAAAAATAGCCTAACCCAAATGGCAAAAGAGGTCCAAAAAGCCAATGAGGAGAAGAATGCCCTAAGAAGCAAAATTGGCCAAATGGAAAAGAAAGTCCAAAAGATTACTGAAGAAGATACTTCCTTAAAAATTAGAACAGAGCAATTGGAAGATAGTGACTTTATGAGAAATCACAACACAGTAGAACAAATCCAAAAGAATGAAAAATTAGAAAACAATGTGAAATATCTCATTGGAAAAACAACTGACCTGGAAAATAGATCCAGGAGAGAGAATTTAAAAATTACTGGACTGTCTGAAAGCCATGATCAAAAAAAGAGCCTAGACATCATCTTTCAAGAAAACTGCCCTGATATAGTAGAACCAGAGGGCCAAATAGAAATTGAAAGAATACACCAATCTCCTCCTGAAAGAGATCCCCAAAGGAAAACTCCTAGGAATATTATAGCCAAATTCCAGAGTTCCCAGGTCAAGGAGAAAATCTTACAAGCTGCCAGAAGGAAACAGTTCAAGTACTGTGGAAACACAATCAGGATAACACAAGATTTAGCAGTTTCTACATTAAAGGACCACAGGGCATGGAATATAATATTCCAGAGGGCAAAGGAGATACGATTACAACCAAGAATCGCCTACCCAGCAAAACTGAGTAGAATCCTTCAGGGGAAAAAAAATGGTCATTCAGTGAAATAGAGGACTTTCAAGCATTCTTGATGAAAAGACCAGAGCTGAATAGAAAATATGACTTTCAAATACAGGACTCAGGTGGAACATGAAGAGGTAAACATAAAAGAGAAATCATAAGAGACTTATTAAGATTGAGCTGTTTACATTCCTGCATGGAAAGATGATATTTGTAACTCATGAGAACTTTGTCAGTATCAGGGTAGTTGGAGGAAAAAAATTATATGTATGTATATGTAGACAGATAGATAGAGGGCACAGAGTGAGTTGAAGATTAAGGGGTCATATCTGGAAATAAAATTAAGGATGAGAGACAATTATACTCAGAGAAGAAGTGGAAAGGCTTAGAGTATGGACCTAATACAAGACAAAGTCTGTTTTCTGATGACCAGCCTAAGTACTTGATGATGAACTCTTTATTCGTAACAATCCATTAAACAAAATAAAACACATAATAGTCCCTAACACCATGCAGACCCTTTCTGATTCAACAGTGACAGTGGCAGAGGAGCAGAAAAGGCACCAGAAACAGTTTTTAGAGCATCTATCATCTTAAAAAGATAAGACTGGCTGGTCAGATGGCAAGAATGAGGGATAACAGGTATATAGCTAAAGTCATACCCCAAGTATTGGTATTCTTGTAATGTTATGGAAAAGCAGGGAGGGCCTCCATTATGCTCTGCAGACACTCTGGGATGGACTTTTGAAATAACATACAGCTGGAGGAACTGAATCATATCAATCTTAACATTCTCACAATAAACACAATGAAGGGGAAAAAAAATCAAGCTGCAGCAGTTTCTCCTTGGAAAGACAAAGAAAAGAAATGGTAGAGTCAGTTTTACTATGAACCTACAGTTAACTGGAAACAACATATGATGGGATAAGAGCACAGTGGAGATAATTGTAGGTTATGCACCATATCTGTTGTGAAGAGGTAGAAATTTTATTAAGAACTCATTAAAACCCTCTACTCTCAACATTCATTAACCTCACTGCAAATTTTCCATATAGATTTTTAATAAATTAACAAATAAATTAGAAGTGTTTCCAAATATTTTGAGAAATTTAAAAATATCTATCCAACCTTTTATGTGAGAAGACTGAGGTAAACACTGAAACTGAGTTAATCTGCTAAACAATAAAATCTTTGGGATAGTTACAGCACCAACATTTTTCAAATTAGAAGGATCTCTAGTAGATCATCTTAGATTTTTAAAACTTAAATTCATATCACTTTGCTTTTAACCTAGTAAAACTTTTTTTTTTAAACATTTCAAACTTACCAGCTACTAGTATATGTAAAACCAACAAATGGCAGATGGTGACCAGAGAATGCAGTATGGGTTGGAGGGGGCATCGTTTCCTGAGAAGGAAAGAACACAGGATGAATGAATAAGTATTACCTGTAGAGTGTGTCACAGAAGTTCATTTATATTAGTACACACTTTAACAAATTCAAGACTGCATCAGTACTGGCACTCCACCCTGCTGAAAGTAGACTATAACCCTTTTATGTCTCAGTGAATTATCTTTCCTTATTTGCTAAGGCAAAACAAATTTCATCACTTGGTACTCAGCTTTCTGTTAAGAAGCCTACCCAGACTTAAGCTGGTTCTCAAATGACAGTAGTTACCTGAGGAAAAGTTATCCTAGATGCTAACAGGACTGTGAGCAAATCAACTGTGCCTTAGCTTTCTACAACCACTGAGAATGCTATGTCCCTTGAGATCTGGCCATCAGGCCCTACCTGCCTAGTATATGGCTGGTCCAGGATCAGAGTCTCACACGCTTTCCTACCACTCAGTGATAATCAAATCACTGTCCCAACAGGGGAAGAGGACAGTCACCTCTGCCTATGGAAGACAAATAAATCAATTATGCCTCAGCTGTAGGACCAGTAAGGTGACAGATTGCCATATTGATTCCATTTACCCCCAAGCAACCTAGCAACCAAGTTCTTTCTAGAACCAGAGGTTCCCACCCCACTTCACCAAATAAAATTAATATGACATTTGGGGCCAGTGGAACAGCTACCATTGCTATTGGGAAGAGCGTGACATATCTACTGCTTTCCTGTTAAGCATCAGCATCTACCTCAGCCCCACCCCTTCCAAGTCCCTTTCTGAATGTGCCCTTCCCTACCACTGGCCTCTCTAGAATCCCTTTAAATTGTTAAACAATTCCTTTTCCTCTCATATGCCATCATTTTCCTATACACAAGAAAACCTGATCCCTCTGAGAAGTGCCTTTTAAAAGAGAATTTAAGATTATTTAGGAGTTTGATGTTTTCATCCAAAAAAATTTCCACTAGATTAATAGGGTTGATTTTTCAAAGTAGTTTTCTTATTTAGTCTGAGTTAACTGTAGTAAAATACTGAAATTCATTATTAAATAATAAACACCATTGTTTTCATTCCTCTTCAAACTTCTTATAAAAATTACTTCCTAGTTTTTTTCAGTATTCTTTCCTTGGCCATGCTCCAGTACAAGACGAACATTCTCTTAAATCCACTATGGAACCATACTGAGCTTCTTCCCCCTTTACGCTGCATATTATAAAATAATATTAGGACATTACTTTAGTCTAAAGTCCTGGGTCACACCTGGAAGAGAAATCCTTACCTGCTTTTAACTATCAATTCCAAACCAATGGTAGTCACTAAATTTCTTTTCTCTCATACTACAAAGACTTAATCATTTTCTTTAAGGAAACTAGTTAAGGGCAGAGGGCCCTAACTGAACTATTGAAGTGTTTAGGATAATAATCACACAAAGGAAAGTAATTAGTCTTTAATTATTTCAGTCCAAGGAAGTATCTCTTGAGTTGACCTCTTCCTAGGTAGAAAGGAGAATCCTTAAAAGGAGCTGTCAAAAGGGGACTGAATAATTTCAGGAAAAAGGATTCCTTAGGTCATAGATACTTAAACTTTTTGCATGTGATAGAACCATTTGGCTTTCTGGGAAAGCCTATGGATCTCTTCTTAGAATGTTTATAAATGCATAAAACAAAATACATAGAATTACAAAGGATACAAATTATATATAATTAGCAAACAATTATTAAAAAAAAGTTTAGGACCCCAAATTAAGGACCTCTAGGATGTGTCAAAAGTCAAGTGATTACTGTTGTGTTTGATGATGCAAACTCACTTGAACTGTTACCTAAACTGATGCTGATCATGACTGTGAAATGTCTATTTTTTTTAGTGAATTATAAATTGCAAGTCTAAAAAGGCTTGTGTGAGGAGATCTTCAGAAGCTGGAGTTAGGTCTTTGGACATCTCTAACCTGGTTAATCAAAATTAATAAAAATTGTTTCTATTAATTTAAGCTTGTGCTCAAAACACATAGTATAGAATTTTCAACACCTTCAATACATTGATCCAGGATAAAAACAGGTATTTCCTTACTACTCAGTGACACATTCAGACAGTCTTCCTGGAACAGTTAACCAGCAACTTTTCTACCTTTAAGGTTCACTCCAGATTTTTGTGACTGCTACCTACGATTCCCTCAATTATTTTTTGTTTCTCAGACTTCACTACTTAGTACACATTCTTCCTCTTCACCCCAAACTTTGTCTCTTTCTACTTGAGAGCTTCAGTACTATGTTTAGTACTTGACTAAAGTCAAACAGCTTGACTTTCCAACTCAGCAACTGCCTCAGTTTCCATGATTATACTTTCACTCCTCTTCAGCCACCATCTTATTGAACCTGAACCATGTGATATGATATCCCATCATCCACCTTCTCAACTTCTTTCTATTGAATGCTGTAAATAAGGTTATGAATTTATGCTGAGACCACTAAAAACTTCTGTTATATAATCTCAAATGAGCCATTAGTGCTGCATTATAATCCTTTTGCTCTTCTCTAGTTGCCTATCTACCTCACTTGCCTCAGTTTTTGTTCTAAACTACATCTCTCTTCAAGCTAACCGCACCACTCTTTTGCAAAAACAAAATGAAATGCAAGTAGAAGAGGTGTTCAATAGAAAAAAAAATCTTCATAGCAAACACCGCTGAAAAATATCTCTTATCCAAACTATATAAGGAAATTATACAAATATATCAGAAAAATGGACAATTCCCTGACAGATTAAAAAGCCAAAGGATATGAAGGGCAGTTCTCAAAGGTAAAAATTATAAGTATCAACAATCACATAAAAATGTTCCAAATCATTAAAAGAGAATCAAAACAACTAACATTTCACCTTATATTCATCAGACTGTGAAAGATATTGGTAAGTGTTGGATAGATTTTACATATTTGAAAATACTCCTAATGTGGCTAAAAGTATGAAAAACATGGAAATCTAACATTCAGGGCGTAGACATTCCTAAAATAAGAATATAACTTTTGAAAACAAGACACAATTTTCAAATTAACAGACCTAATAAAGTGCCCACGTTTAGACATTCTACTTTTTCAATGTTTTAGTATTATTTTAACCCATAAGTTTAGTTTAATTCATGATTTTGGAAAAACACACAATTACTTGACAGAAATGCACTTCCAAGAATAACCGACATGAAAGTGGTTGTTTTATGGATGTGGGCAAAGTTTCTGTCAGATACAACCTTCAAGATTCAGAATTTTTTTCCTCCTAATCTACCCCATAATGCTTCATCTAGACATGGAAGCTACCCTGTGTTTTTGAGGACTAGACCAGTAGAGTAGAGACTCTTGAAGGTCTGATCATGCCAGAAAGTCTTCAGGCATAAGCCTAGTGACAAATTATGCCTGCTTTCTGAGGACCAGTCAGTTCAGTTACACATCTGGAGGCTCATCGCCAGTCAAAGGTGAATACCATGGCTACAGGAAGGAATTATTTCTTTAAAATTGCTTTTAGTCCTAAATGAGCATACTCTTTCATTTCTGAAGTGGCAGTGAAAGAATAAAAGGGAAAGAACTCACAATGGCAAAGATGATAAAAGAAAAAAATAGTCAAGGTTCAAAGGGCTGTGAAAAGACATTAATAAATGATTAGTGGAGATGTAATCTAACTATTCCTAGGAAAAATTTATAATTGTACTAGAAAAGTCACTAAAATGTAAATACCCTTTGGCACAGAGATAGTACTACTGCTCATATGCAACAAGGAAACAAAAGACTGGAAAAAATATATAACACTTCCAGACCTCAAGCTATATTATAAAGACAACACTATTTGGAACATATTAAAAAACAAAGTGGTCCAATGGAACACATCAGACTAGAAACAATATGAAATAACAAAACAATAGCAACCCAGTGCCTATAAAATGCAGTAATATAAATTACTTGAGGAAAAACTCTCTATTTGACAACAACTGTTGAGAAAACTAGAAAGCAGTCTGGCAGAAATTAGATGTAGATGAACATCTTATACCACATAGCACAATAAACTCAAAATGAATATATATTCTGAATATTAAACATGATACTATAAAAAAGAGAACTACAATAGATATATTACACAGTTATGTTAAAATGTAAATTCTTAAAAACAGTCAATACGTATTTATTAAGCACTTACTATGTGCCAGACACTGTGTTAAGCACTGGCCATTGCAAAAAAAAAAAAGCAATAAAAAAATTAAAAAGCAATAATTGTCTATATACTTAAGGAACTTATATTGTAATTGTGGAAAGAAGGGGGAAATTTTAATATATAAGACATGCATATATAGAGAGAGGCAATTACAAAATATAAACTCTTTAATTGAGATTACATGAAATTGAAAAAGATAATGAATAAACAAAATTAAAATAACTTGCAAAAGAAAGAATGAAGTCAATTTTGGGGAAAAAAAGTCTTTATAAATATCTAATAAGAGACTACTACTCAAGATTTATAGGAAATTAACAACTATATAAGATCAAGAATCATTAAATTAATGGATTAACGGTCAAAGCATATGAACAATTAGTTCTCAAAAAAAACTGCAATCTGTTGACAACTATTTGAAAGAATGATCTAAATCACCAATTATAAAAGAATGTAAATCAAAACAACCAAACTTGACATTTTATCTCATACAAAAAAAGTAGCAAAGATGACAAAAGATAGAAATAGTAAATGTTTGGTGGTGTTATGGAAAGATAGGCAAACTAACAGATTGCTGATGTAGCTGGAAATTGATCTAACCATTCTGGAAAGTAATTAGGAATTAGGCAAAGAAAATAACTGAAATACCCATATCTTCTGACCCAGAGATTTCATTGCTAGGCATATATACTAAGGTTGAGTGGTTGAATAAATTGTGGTATATCAATGTCATGGAATACATGTAAAAAATTACAAATATGAGTAATTCAGACACCAGAAGACATTTACAAATTTATCCCAGAAAAGTAAACAAAGGAAATAACATACAAGC